AACTGTGATGGAAATAATGATATTAGAATCTTAAGATTTTGTGCTTCATTACACGTAGCAATCTTCAGTGTCACGGTTTCAATCTTAAGTAATAGTAGGGCGTCTGACCAATGTGTTACTATACTACTGAATTATACCTTTTATCTTAGTAAACGTTACGATTTGAAGGGATAATATACTTATTAATATAATATGTGATATTACATACAGGAGTTTTTTTTGTGGCAGTCGAATCGTTTAGTAGGACTAGGATGTCTGACCAATGCGCGACTATACTACTGAATTTTATCTTCTAACCGAGATAACGTTCCGATTTCAAATGTTAATGTTCTTATTAATATAATATGTGATATTATATGCAGGAATTTCCACTGTTACAGCTCAGTCGTTCAGTAGAACTAGGATGTCTGACCATTGCGCTACTATACTACTGAATTTCACGTTTTACTCTAAATAACGTTGCGATTTGAAGTAATAATATCCTTATTTATATAATATGTGATATTATATACAGGAATTTCCACTGGTACATTCCAGTCGTTCACTGAAGCTAGATTGCCTGACCAATGCGCGAATATACTACTGAATTCTACCTTGAAAGCATGAAAACATTAAAATTCATGATAACCACGTCTTCAATAATACAATGTTCAACATCCGACAGTTTTCACTGTGACAGGCTTTGCTTGAAATAAAACGTGTCTGATCGATGCGCGTGTATTCTACTGAATTTTACCTTTGAAACCTGCAAATCATGATTACGCGAATCAATGGCTTTTGAAATCAAACAGGAATTGGAAATATAAAATTGTTGATAGATTATAGAGAGAATTAAATGTTTTCCTGCTGAATGTAAATTCCGAATTAAACATCAACGAATAAATCCACAATATTTCATTTCCTGAAATCAGAAAAAAGTAACATCTATTTCTTTTCAATTTGTAATACATATTGTTTGATTTTAATTCTTCTTTGTATAAATATAACTATTTACGAAGCGAATATATTTGCACTTTGCAGTTGGATAAAATGGAATATGAACGAAATGATGATGCCGATAAACCATCTATTTGAATTATTCGAATCGACAAAACTGGTCGGATGAGAAATGCTGGTTACAAATACGTACATCTTCGATAGGAAGACATAAATTTTTTTTCCAGCCGGTGCTGGTTGCATATAGGATCCCTAGCGAGGACACAGGAAGCGCTATAATCCAAACGGTGGTAAATCATTCCAAGGTGCTTAAACGGTGTCCTCATTTTCACGAAGCTTAACCGTTGGACAAGAGAAATTGCGTTTCGGGAGGGAGCAGACAGTCGGAACAGGTAACGCGTGTAACGGTAACGGTGTCCGACAAAAGAGAAAACGCAAAAAAATCATCCCCCGGAACAATTTAAAGTAGCGTCAATTCCGTAACTACCCCTCGAACTGAATTCACTTCGTTCCGCCTTCATCCTTCTTTTTTTCTTTTAATTTCATTTCATGTACGAACGCGATACGCCGAGGAACTCTTCGCGTTTCAGCGCCGTCGTTACACACCTACACACACTTATAACGGATAATTCTAACAAATTACATCGCGGACATAATGCGGGCGTAAATTAGCGAAGAATCGCGGACGCGTGGCAACTGCATTTCCGTTGGCTCGTGACCAGAGAAAGGCACTTTGAGAGCGCTCTAATTCACTACGGGAAATAAATTGTCGGAAGGTGCTCACCCGTGTCTCCTCTCTTTCGAGAAGCACGCTCCTGACGGAGAAAGAGAAACGATGGAAACAGAAGCGCCACGGACCTCCATGAAAAAGCAACCCTGGTGTCAAGCGGAAGACGAAGAACATCGACGAGAGTAGTAAAAAAGAAGGAGAGCCAGAGATGAGACGGGAAAAAGGGTGCACCCTTTTGCGCAATTTGTCCGAACGTAGAAGCAAATTTTGCTCGGTGTACAAAGCCAGTCGACATTTTTAAAGCACCAAAGGGGTTGAAGGAGAATGGCACGAGTTCGCGATTGTCGCGTGCTCGCACCATTTACCCTCTAGCGATGGGAGGGAATATCGCACGAGTGAATTCGAACACTGATCGATTAGATTCGAACTCTATTATTTTCCTAATTATTTCAAAGATTAAAAATACTACTTCTAAGCATTGAATATTTGTCAGGGGTGAATTAGATCTCTTTCCTTAATTAAAAGAGCCAAATGCCTAGTGTTACTTAATTATCCATAATAATTTCGCGTAACATTATTAGAAATACACGAAGGGAAATTTGAATATTTAGATTAATTAAAATTCGTGAGTATCGTACTTGATCCCATCCCTACAACCCTCCTCTCGTTTCTGCTTCACCTGGTGGAACCACGTACGCGAGAATCGACGCGAAACGAACACGAACGAGCATCAGGAACGTAGCCACGTCCCCCGGGGCTCGCGTTATTTTATGTCGCTTGTGACTCTTGCATCCACCTCCACCCCTCGCTGTTCTGTTTCCACCAGCTGGCAGGCATCGAACGAAATACGAAAGACAGAAGCAACGGCCAGAGGGTGAAACGGCGGGGAGAATGGCGTTCTATGAATACGTTTGGAAGTTCAAACGCCTATGTGATTTGCATGTGTCTCCGAGGTGAGCTAGGTGCAGCTAGGTGTCAGGGAGGGTGCGCACCCTCCCGTCCTCCGTTTCCGAACGCAACCCTGACAGCGAACAACCGCCTCGCTGTCTAAAGTAACGACACGATGTCGAAGGGTAAAACCTTCTCTTCTTTTTCTTTGTTCGAACGTCGTTGTTCAGCGCAAGGGGTGAGCTCCCATGGGGATTGAATTATTTACGATTCGAGGGTTGAAGTCGAGGCGTAATTAGACTGTGCTTTTCCTCGTTTCGTAAAAATGTTGTAAGCTTCGCTAACGATCAAAATCATGGAATTGTATATTGTTTTCTGAAGAAGGGCTTGATATTTGGACGATGTAACGAGCCGAAGGGGGATGAAATATTTGGGCAGAATATATCGAAGAATTTAATAACCGTAGTAGCAATCAGAAGCAGTCGACGTGACTGACACGTAAATCGACGATAGAATGTGACCTACTTGTGGTCAGGCAATCCTTCTGTATCTTTGGTGAACGTATTGTTAAAAATATAAGTGAAAGGATCCTTTGAAATTCTTTGGTTTGCTCAGATATTTCTGTGAAACCAATTAAGCTTTCTTCCCAAGATATCCTATCAGGTTATAAGAGTAAAATCAAAATTTGTAGTTGAGGAAGCATTTAAAAATCTGGAGATTTTAAATCCAAACCAATTTTCCATTTTCTGATACCAACGGCTCTATCATCTAAGTTAATTCGTTCTTTTTAAAGCTTCTTAGTCCAGATGAAATTCGCCGTTCAAAGGGAAAATTTCCGAAAAATTTCATAGCGAATTTAAGCTGGTGGTCTCTTTTGTAAACGTAGCCGCGTCTGAAACGAGCGCACGTTGCTCCACATCTGTCGCGAGGTATCCCGGTATCCAGGATCTCATAGCGTACAGGACGCTCATCGGTGCTTTAAATCGCCGAGTACCGCGAAATCCTGAAGGATGCTCCAGATATCAGTGCTCGCATCGAATTGCATACACGTGCACAGTTTGCATAAACGTTGATACGTTTGCGATGAGCGAATATTAATGAGAATCCAAATCATCATCAAAGGATGTTTAACCATCTCACCTGGTCACGTTTAATCTTTCTTCGAGGGTTAAAACGATTTTCTATTATGTAATATCTTTCAGAAAGGAACCTAATAAAGGGATCACAATTTCCTGACAAACTTTTCTTTCTTTTTCAACAACGACTCCGCCATGCTTTCTGAAATAGTTGTTCCACGTTCTAAGGATTTCCACTCGTATTAATCCCTCTTGGGATAACGATAAACGCAATGTTTATTGCCGGGATTCCTTGCTTTATTTCCGCGAAAGGGAAGTCCGTCAGGTCGATTTAACCTGCCACGATGCCGCTTACCCGAAAGGATTTCCGTAAGAGAGTTGATGAAAGGGAAAAGAGGGAAAAGATTTAATCGAGCAGAAGCGCGTTCACGATCGTACGGCTGCCGAAGCCAATAACAGCCCGTACAAGAACGATCCATTCTGCTCGATTTCGAGGAGCTGATAATAAACAGTGAATTCCTCGAATAGATCAGAAGCTTCTTAAACCAATGTTCGTTCGTGCAAATGTTAAGCTTCGCGTGGAAATATAAAATCGACTAACATTGGATTCGATCATCTTCTTATAAAACGCATCAGTCATTGTGAATGGATTGGAATTTATTGGAAATGTTTTTATAAAAATGTTAATTGAGCCGATAGATTTAAAGTGAAAGAAATGACGATATTATTTATTTTTCTTTGCACTTTCATCGAAAGGATTCCACGTTTAATCCAGTCGCGATTGAAAACGCGTCTTTCGAACGAGACAATCGAACCCCGTCGATTCTGCTCATCTCGATAATGTAAATTTATTCGCGCCGATTAATCCATCCTGGCCGTCTCACCTTCGGATCTTGTTCGAGCTTTTCACGGACTTTTATCGTCCGGCAAAAACTTTAATGGAAAGATTACACTCGAATGGCAGTAAACTTCTGGCAAATTGAAATGTGAACGCTAGAGGAGTAAAAAGTATTGCGATCTTTGGATAATGCCGAGCAATCTTCAACACGTATTCCGATAGCTTCGCGAGGAAAACTCGTGATTGCTGTTTACGATCTTGATCTCCGTATACTTTGTCATTGAAAGATGAGAAATTAAAGAAACTCGTTATCGGCTTGTTTGAAGATCGAGGAACATAAGTGTTGCACGTAAATCGAGATTGATTGAATAAAATAAAAAAAACAATCATGGACTGTTGAAGCATAGAGATGATCAAGTACTATTGAAATTTCGTTAGAGTATTTTTGATGGCTGGTAAGATTGTAAATTGAAACATAAAAAAATTCTAAAGCATAGGCGATCGAATAACAAAATTAAATTGTGTTTTCCAGGATCGTGCAACCAGTCTTTGGGTATGGAATCTGGCGACATACCAGACTCAGCCATCACGGCATCCTCTTCGTACGTGACGAACGTTGGTCCACGAAATGGCAGGTGAGTTATTAATTTTTTGGCGGGGGATGATAATAGGGGACCTGGTAGGGGTATCGCGCGGGGTAAAAATCCAGGCGAGGTGGAAAGCGCCTTCTGGAAGGAGGCACCTCCTGTGTTTCCACAGGGGGCTCCGCCATCGAAATTGGTCCCAAACCCGATTGCAAAAAAACTAGGGGCCCAGCCGACCCCAGTCGCATCCCCCAATCTGCCGTCCATCGCCTCGGCGTGCGCTATGGGAGTGAGTTATTTTATTCCCAAATAAGGTACAGTCTCGCTCTAACTCCACTTTTCTGTTTTGCAATCTCTGCTCGTTTCTGCTTCACTGTTTCATCCCCGTCCATCATTTATAATTTAACGATCACGCCAGTCGTGGCTGGTTCGCGAGTACTTTACTTTTAATCGTGTTCAGCGACGTTGTTGGACCGATGAAATTAATCGAGACCCCGGTCCGCGACGCAGCTTTTCCCCTGGCGTTTGCGAAAATGTTTGGAAAAAATAAAAACTGCTATTAGCCGATACCGGGCTCGCTTGGTCGAAAGGACGAAGTTACTCGCGGCATTGGCAGTTTCAAGGGGGAAAATATTATCCCTCCGGTAATTGCGTTGTTATTGGGTAAAAAAAGCAACGACTGAGAGTGATTCGAGTGATCGAGTACCGGCCATGACATTATTCCTCTTCTATCGTGAAACAATTTCTCCCTGAACTTTGAGTTTTTAACGCGATGCTTCTAGGAAATGAAATATATCTACCTGTTATATTCAGTAGTAACAGACTGCAGTGATCAGACGCTGATTGCAAGTGCGCCTTGCGTCGAGAACCATTCGTACAGTGAGAACATACCATGTTGCCATTCGTGAAGGATACATCGAGCACACTGATCTTCATTTTGCATAATAACATGACAGAAAATTGTCATACATTTCCCAAACGTGTATTTAGTAACATCAATCACACTATTACCTTTCGATAAAATAAATAATTTGATTTATTCGTCTCACATATTTTGGAATAATCGTTAATCAAAAGTGACACAGAATTTATTGAAAATAAAACAAACGGAGAAGAATAATAGATTTAATTAAAATATCACTAATCTGATTTGCAATTAAATTCTCTTCACTTTGTCCCTTTTAAATCAGTCCATATTTATTTAAACTCGATTTCCCTCAACTTCTCTTGTCAAAACATTCAAGTAAATGTTTCAACAATCGAATCGTAGCTGCGCGATCGATTCATTGAATTAATTGTCGAGGACAAGAAAAACGACGATCCTCTCATCAGTCAGCAAGTTAACTTCGTTATTAGGTAGGAATCACGGTGCAAAGAGCCGATAGGTGGTGAAAGTTTTGCCGAGTTTTCATCGGACTCGATTTAGAACGAACGCGGAGAACATCGAAGACGGGAAGAAACGTAAGGAGCAAATAGAAAGGAGAGACGAGGGGGAGGAAAAAAAAACTGAAACCCGGATTCGCTGTTTAAGTACACTTCTCTCGAACCGAAGAAGTTCTTCAAGTCGGCGAATGGCCTCGTGAATTGTTCTTCTTTGTTCGAACGGTGCTGTGATAGCCGGAGGACTATAATTGTGCCTAGACAGTCCCCTCCTTCCTGAGCAGTCGATGAAACATTAACTTCCTTTTACGTTGAATCCGTGCAAATTCTTGATTCAACTTTCAATTTTTTTAACCCTTGATCGACAGAATCTGAGTCAATCGGAACCCAAAATAAAATGAAAATAATATGAAATATAAAATTAAATTAAAATTGGGGCTCTCTTCATGGTCCGTTGTTGGGGGAGAGAATTTATATTCCCTTTTTATTTTGGTAATCTCAATATGGTGATGTTCATATTTAAACAAATATGAAAAGTTTTCCATTCGTCGACGCGAGAACGGTCAAGCAATTTCGTTAATTAACTCGTCGAAATGTGTAACTTTCAAACGTGCACTTAAAAGCATCCCTCAGCTTGAAGATCTCTCAATATTGGCCACGTTGGAGATGGACTAAGCAGAAATACACTATTAATTAATTACGTCTACCCGAATGAAAAATTATCTTTTAACCATTGTAACAGGAAGAACATAGAAAGGATAGAATGAAACGAACCGTGAATCAAATTCGTACAATTTCGGCGTGGCTACATTTTCGATACGATTATTATTGTGCAATTTCGGCCGCGCTCTGGTGGCCACGAATTTTCGGGGTGGAACGAAAATTGATTTTCGAATCCCTTTTTTAAGCAACGTGAGCCAACGCTCCGATCAGATTTCAAATTGAATAAATGTTTTATCAATTTCTCTTATTTTTTACAGCTGCACTTCCTCTTTTTATTAGCTATTTTTATCGATACTTTATCTTAATAAAAAGATCTAAATACGTTAGATTAAAAATTACGCAAAATTAGGAGGTTGAAGATAAAAATAAATATAACTGTAATGGTATTTGTATTAAAACAATCTTAAGTATGCAATTGAATTTCCCATAGTCTTAATGGTAGGACGATATTGAAAGTGGTCCGAAAGCGACCGACCTTGAGACCCCATGAAAATTCATCGAAACATCCCGTCGGCCGGTAACGCTAACAAATTCTGTCGAAAATAGGCTGCGAAAGGAGACCGCAGGCGGTGCTTGGTGCCCGAAGAGCCAGATAGAGAGAGGAATTCGTGAGTGGTTGCAAGTGGATCTTTCCGGACCTCACGTGATCACCGGCGTACAGAGTCAGGGTCGTTACGATCACGGCCGTGGCCAGGAATACGTGGAGGAGTACACCCTGGAGTATCGACGTCCCGGCTTCAGCGAGTGGCGGCGATATAAGCGCTGGGATAACAAGGAGGTACGTGCTGACATGTAGGTTAGAACACGTGTGTTGACAGTGGAGTAGAAGTACGTTAAGTCAGACGAGAGATCCTGAATAACGTGACCGCAATCAAGCCGTCCCTCCTTTATTTTCCCGTCGCGGATTAACCATAGGGTTTGTTCACGATACAGAAGATTCTCGTAAATTGAACGTGTTCGCGATTCACTGGGTCAGAATGGCCCTCCTCAGCTAAGGTTCTCGTATAAAAATCAGACAACCTACTAAGGGTTTCAGGTAGTTACAGCTTATAGGATGGTAGATATCATTTTCTATTCTATTTATTAAGTTTCTTTGCAAACTTCAAGAATTAACTTTTTACATTACTCATTTAATAAAAAGATAAATAAAAACGAGTTGAAAAGTCTCTCGATAGAGAATCCATCATCCAGTTAATGGATTAAATTTCTACAACTTTTCCTTTTCATTAAACATACTGTATCAAAACCAAAAACAAATTTCATATGATTAAATTGAATTATAAGATAAATATTTCACTACCCCCGAGAACAGTTCTTTACCTTCATGCATTAAGTCTAATTTAATTAACTGTTACATTAACGAATTTCATTTTTATCAAAAGAGGAACGGAACTTGTTCTAAACCCGAGTTTCGAACCTCCCTTATTTTAATTCCTTGGGTGTAGACAATTCGAGTCAAGGTACTCAAAGTCCGTTCCCAAAAGATTGAACCGCGGAAAAGAGTAGAAATAACTTTCGGTCTTCGATAACTATCTGTACGCCAGAAACGTGTTCCAACGCATCGAGATTTCAACGAAACTTTCCTTTTTATTTACGGTAAAAACGAAGTTTCACACGGACACAGGAGCGATACGTTATTCGTGGACGGGAAATTCGACCAGGTTACATGGTGATTCCGTGACGTACCTCGCGTATCAGCCAGCATATCACGAAGTACGAGTGTCGTTATCAATTTCCCTTGATGGTATAATTCGAAACACACCGCGCTCACGGGGTCAGCGATTAAATTTCGTGGAAACTCCGGTCCGACTAACTGTGATCATCGAATAATTAAGAGCCGTTTCCCAACGAGAATCGTCCAATTAAGTAATTTCAGCCGCGATAGGCGTTCTGCGACGCGTCTTGCGCGAACAACGATAATTTATTGCATAGTGGCGTGAGAAGCGGCTCGTTTTGTGTTTGCCCGACACTTCTGGAAAGGGAAATGGATGTTGCGCATGCAGCCAGTCACGTTATTCAGACGGAATTCTATTCCTCCTCCGGTAGAAATTCGAAGGAACGATTACGTGAAAATTTAATTATTATTCACGGTTTATCTTTCCGTTTTTTTAACGTAGTATCCTAAAAATAGAATAAAATGGTTCAGATGATTTTTGCCGGTGTCATTTCATGATTCGAACATCAAAGTTTATTCGAACGATGATTCACGTGGTGTAGGCTAACGGGTGCATTAACCATGGCATTACCTTCGAATTCGATGCAATCATGATCTATGTCTAAACGGGGCGTGCATACACGCACGCGTGCACTGAGATTTCAGGGTAAGTTGATTAATATTGACGTCGATTTGATCGGTACGTAGCTCGTGCATCAACGTTTCCCCTCCTCTGATCGCGGTGCGTTTGCGAATCGCTCGTCCACGATCAACGCCCCGTTATTATCAGATACGAAATTGTTTCGCGAAACGGTCGACTAAATTAATCGTATGGTACCCGAGTCGCGGCGCGACCAACCGAACGCATTAATCGCCTGTTGTAATTGAATCGGTGAAATTATCGCAATTAACTCGATAATTATATGGCGGCCGATGAGTGCATCGTCCAAAACATTGTGCCAACCGAGAGATTTACTTAGGATCGCGTCGATTGAATACGTTTCATCGAAAGGATCCTCGAGTACCGACAATTTAACCGATAATAACCGTTGCAACGATTAATGAATCGTTTTAATTGTATCATCATTTTCACAGCCGCTCGTTAATTAACGAGTCAATGTTTGAACGTTCCTTAAACAATATTTCGTCGTGTTTGCCGACGAAAAATTACGGATTTAAAATGGAAATGTTGCTTCTTCACGTTTGTCATTGTTTCAGGTGCTGGCTGGAAACAGCGACACCTCGACCGTGGTGTCGCATCGATTGATACCACCGATCTTCGCCAGTCAAATTCGAATTTTGCCTCATTCGGAACATAGACGCACCGTTTGCCTTCGAATAGAGCTGAGAGGATGTCGGGACACGAGTGAGTAATTAATCCTTTCAATGATATTTTAACCTTCGAATGAGGTGGACCATGGAGAGAGTCCCAATTTTAATTTAATTTCATTTTGTATTTCATGTTATTTTCATTTTCTAAATTTTACACCGTTCCTCTCAAAATTATTCTATCAATATATGAAACCTTTTCATTTAAAAATTAGACTACTTTTATAACTTTGGGTCTCGATTGACCCGCTGTTCAAGGATCAACCCCTTACCTTTCCACTTTGTTCTGAATATCACAGACAATTTCATTCAAATTCAGTTTAAGGCAATTAAAATTATAAGAAATTCCAAAAATCTTAATCAACAAACTCGAAGAAACCACTCGACATCTTATACTAACTATCCAAGGAGCGATGTCTTGAATCAATCAAAGAAGAAGGCCCTCGAGGAAGTAAACGTAGCCGTGTAAATTTGCAATTCCACGATGGAACTGTACGATGGAAATACGATGGTTAGGCGACCGGACAGCAAGCGATTAATTTCCAAATTGCAATTTCATTCAATTTGGTGTGTCGCTGCTGAGACGGCAACCAGGGAACCCAAGCTGGCGTCGGAGTCCAACTGCGATGTTGGATTCCATTAGCGGCGGTAACGGTGTTACACGAACGAACTCATCGGTTGCTCCTGTTTCTATGCATCTTTGTTTCCGACCTACATCGCTCGTTTGAACGCGTCTAATAGAATCAACAACACGATGGACATTGTTGCAGAAACATTGAAACACTGACTGGTGTTGGCGAAACAATCTCTGCCGATAGCCTGCGCACGCAACGCGTGTCGACAGCTCGTCGAGATGTCGAGCGGTTTCGTTCCGCGGCACCGCGACGCCGGGCGTCGCGTCAAAACGCGCGGACGATAACGTCTATTTCCTCGTCGAGGAAAGAAACACGAGCAACGTTCGAGTTCATTCGATTCGATGCCATAGAAATGGGAACACCTGAAAGTACACAATAGAAAATGGAAATTGGGTCTGAAATAAGGTGGTCGTTTAATTATCAAAATAAGAAATTCAGAAATTTTTTTCTCTCCCTATTTCTTCCTTCCAATTATCCTTTAAATATATTCAAAACTTGATCATCTTATTTTAAATTGAAAAATTAAAAATATCCTCCGAAAGAATTTTTCATCCCTTTGAGTCTTTTTCGTAAAAATGTACCTCAAGGGTAAACTACCCGAGGATCGCCATACGAACGAAGAGCTAGGTTAATTTTGTACGATAGGGATGGTAGTAGAATTTCTTTTTTATTATTATTCCGAGCGTTCTAACAGCAGCGGTTATTGCGAGTTTTAATTAGTATTCACGGTGTGTGGTTTTTCCCTTTTTATTCGTCGGCGCTTTATTAAATACAGCACTCGATGGGAGATTGTATTTAATCCCGAGAAATATGTCGGTCATAAATATTAATAGACGTATATATAAAATATGGGTCAATTGATTCGTGGTTCGAGTGGGCCGTTTCATTTTTAAAAGCCCTCAAGAATAACCGGTACACCTTGTTGCGTGTTCATCCAGGTTTCTTCGTCGATCATCTATTATTAACGCTTCTTACTTATGAAATATTAATATCGTTTTCTTTCTCGTCGTTCGAATGACTATTCCAGCCGCGTTGATTAGCCACGCGTTGCATATTAATCTCGATGGATGTATCGGATTTTTCAAAAAGCATGCATTCAATTATTTTTGCAAGTCACTGTTCATTCGGCCTAATGGAAAATCGATACGTTGGCTGCGTACCCCTCCCCGCAACATAAAAATCAATCATCCACTTTTGTAGTAGAGACACAGAGTAATGAAAAATGATAGCATCTCCGATAGCTCTTCTGCAAATGTTCCTTGACTTTGTAATTTCTTTATCAAACTTCTCGGAAAGGTCTCGTCCGATCATCTTCTTTTATACACTCGTCCATTTTCATATTGCATTTGTTACACTTCCGACTGAAAGTGAAAAATTGGAGTTGTCGGAAGAGCGGAAAATATTTGAAAAGCAGTCACGCGAGTGTGGAATATTTTTTCTCACGCGTGCACCAACATTTTTATCCACCTGTGTACGTAATAAATTCCTCGTCAAAGGGTTGAACGGGGCTTCAGGGAGGAACATGGCCGCCCAATTACATTGGCGTTGATTATCCATGAATAATCTACGATTACGTATTAAAGGTATAATTCGAGTTTGGTTGTTTGAGCGTTGCTAGTGTCCGCGTTTCGGAGGTAATCGTTCGCGTTCGAGCAACCGGCCTAGGGCATCAACGTTGTTTTAACCAGATGTCGTGCACGAGCGCTATAAATCCGCCATTCCCGCCCACGAAAGCTCGATCTCACACGCTCCGAACTCTTCTTATAGCGCGAAACCTCTCATGTCGCCTGTTTCGAGAGCAACCTCCACCCCCTTGCGCCTCTGGCTTTCCTTCGCTTTCTTATGGTTCTTCGTCGTGGAGCCGTGCCGCGGCTGGTTCTTCGGCATTAGCGACCCAGAAAAATCATTTATGCAAACGACGTCCATTACACTGATATTGATATACCACGGGGCTCGTGCGCCAGGTCACGTCGTATTTCCTCGTGAGAAATATTACGTGTTTTACGTGCTGCACCCCCTTTGGCCAAGAATCATCGGCGAAGCTAGCTTTTGCAACACTTTTATCGCACCACCCTGTCATTATAATTTAAGCCCCTTGCTGTACAAGATTTTTATTGCTGATTTTATACCTGCTGTCCCGTCACTGCTTGTGGACTCAAAAGGTGGATAATTGTACGCTAGGAAAGTCGAACATTTATTTATACAGCGTTCTATATTCAGAAGATTGACTTTGAAAATTATGAATTACGCAAATTTTTATATTACAGCGAATAATAAAGCCCTTATACAATATCGAATACACTTGATCGACTCATGTGTAAAAATAAATCCATTTCTGGTGCGCGAAAGTCGATTCGAATTGTCGAAGAAAATCGTGACGAGAAGGAGGAAGTAGTCGTTGAGTCGACGTCTCGTTATCCGTCGAGGGTAAAAGTGGCTTTTGAAAATGACCCAGCCAGGAGAGAAGAGGATCGTGGAGGGGCGGATTGATTTCGAAACTTGTTACGAGTGCACTCTTCGCCTTTGAGGGTAACTTCCGTGGAAATTGCTCTAACGACACTCGATGAAACTTCGTAATAATTTGTGTGGCAACTGGTGGAGGGTTGCTGGCGCGGATTAGATTAGCGGATTTCCGGATTACAGGCCGATGTCGCGTTAACGACGCTGTGTACGAAACCTCCCGTTAACGTGTGCACTTTAAATACGCGCATAATGAAATCTGCTGATCAAGGAAATTAATTAAAATGAAGGTAGTTAAATAATACGTCGTACATGATTTATGCATCGAACAATTCTCTTCCGGTTGTCTTGTATGCAAATCAAACGAGGCAGATATTCTTTTAACAAACGAAATCGCCGTTCGTTTTTGCGTGAAGTCCGTCGAAAACTCGCTCGACCGCATCGCGTGACACGGTTGACCGGCCACGGACGTATGTACCGTGAAATATTGAAAGTAGTTAGGCGATTTTAAGCACGACATAGTGACCGCGGCGTAGTCGTTCCTGCTGTTTCGTTATTAATTTTCTTACCACCAGTGCTCGACCATCTGAACACGCTCACGGTACACGTTCGTCCGTGACCCGTTTGACGGCCGCTCACGACACGTTTTCTTATTAGATTTATTCAAAGCATCCGATACATCATACGATATGAAAGGAAATTTTTTTCCTCGATAAAATACTGTAGAAATTTATGAAAATTAAGGGAGCTGAAAATTTTTCCCTGGGGATACATATTCTTTCGAAAAGTTTTAATTTTGACGATACATCTCTTTCTTGAGAAAAGACAAACGTCAAGCTGACGAAACAATGTCGACAAGATAACCCTTTGTTACCCTTCCTTTAACTGACCCAGTGAGGAAACCAGTCGCAAAGTTGTCTCAGTTGTTTGAGTTTGTTTTAAAAGGGACAATGCTCGTCACGTGATACTTGTATGTGTTTCAGATGGTGTCGTGAGTTATACCATACCCGATTCACCGACACCAGAGCTGAGCGACATCTCGTACGATGGTAAAAGGCAAGACAACTTGTTGACCGATGGTTTGGGCCGGCTGATCGATGGCGAGGTCGGCGCGGATAATTACAGACTGGACATGGGAGATGGAAGAGGTAATCGGTGGGTGGATGCACGGTAGGGTGCTAAGTGCCGAAACAGGACGTGTCTCGGACGCATCCTCTTTTAGAAAATAGGCAAACGAGATGATTTGAATTTTTATTGCAAACCTAACTTCTTCTTATCTTGAAATTATTTAAAGTTCAAAGCACTGAACTTTTTCGCTTCGCAATCTTATCTCCAAACGAGAACGTCAATTTCAGATAGATTTCTTTATTAATTTTAATACCATCATCCCTCGCACAATTGCCATTTTATCAGTAGAAACCCTCGACATCAATATTCCGTTCGTCAATATCGAGCTTCTGTTATCGGTACTTAGCACCCGCAAATAGAGAATATAGCGAGGGCTTTACAAGACAGAGAGAATCAACAGAGAGAAACGCTGGAAGAAGAGGTTCTTGCGGCCGGAAGTTACCTCGAACGGAATCAATTCAATTAACAAGAGAAACAATAGATCAATCGTTACTCGAGCTTTAACTTCGATTCACGCTAACGAAGTTGCCTATGAGAGCCGAGAAGTGGAGTGGTGGCTTCAATCGCGAAATGGATGCTCGTTTTTCTGCAGGTACTGGTTGGATAGCATGGATGCGAGACACCTTCGAGGACGATTACGTGGAGCTGGTGTTCGAATTTGAAGTGACCTGGATCTTCGAGGCGGTGCACATTTATACCAACAATTATTTCTCGAGAGATGTGCAGGTAACCTTTTTTAATGGTTTTTATCCCCTGGAATTATAAAGTTCCTCGTAGAGATAAAACTTTTAATGAGCCCAATTCATTTTTAAAGCCGCTGGGCAATATTTTTCATGGGATGAAATTGCGGGCTTGTCTTGATTATACAAATCTTGGAGACTCGTAGAAACGTTTGTATTTTTTCCTTCGATTTTATATTTTAACTTCATTTCAAGCGTGATAATAAAAACTGGTTAAAAATCAAAGCTGAACTCTTGCACGGTAAAATGTCAATGTGATACGCCGGATGGATCGGTTGCTTCTCCTTTCATTCCAATGAAAGGCCAAGCCATTAAAAGTGAGTCGATCTTAAGTACCGGTTATTGCTTACACGGTGAGTTGAACCGAGCGGTCCATCAACTATAGCGCCCATTAAAGCGAGAGTTTCTTTCTTCTTCGTATGGCTTGACGTGCGAAACACGTGACGAGATAACGCATTGTTATGTCATTAGGTGGGAATCAATGTAAACGACACATGTTCTTAATCGTGTAACGTTCGAAGTGATCGTGAAATGGAAATTTGTATCGTTGATCATTATAGAAATGTCGTGCACCGTGTTATTATTCGTGGAAAATACGATTAAATCGATCGGATTACCCTCGATACATTGTACGTTCGAATCGTAATTAATTGTAATTAACTCGATATCTAATTCGATGATGGTTATCGCTTGAAACTTGCAACATTGTTTTCCATGAGTGATTATAATCCTATTGTTCATTGATATCCTGATATGATCCTTTGGATCAAGGAATTTCGTTCTTTATTTTTCATTTATATCATGTTACAGATTAATTATAATTATAATTACAGATATCTTACACAATTTGAGATGCTAATTTTATTGTAACTTCCTTGTATCCTAGGTATTCTCTAAAGCAGACGTCTGGTTCAGTCTGGATGGTGAAACTTACGAAGAGGAGCCATTGTCCTATTCTTACATCCCGGATATCGTGCTGGAAAATGCAAGGAACGTATCCATAGTTCTACACGAACGTCGTGCAAAATTTCTCAAAATACATTTGTATTTTGCGGCTCGGTGGATTATGATCAGCGAGGTGACATTCGATGGAAGTAAGTAAGAAAAAAATAAGGAATAAAATAAAATCCTTCTGACAATTTCATGTATTAAAAAAATTTAGAGAGAAAAAGAAATTCAACTCAGTTACGTGAATCACGGTATATAATAAAATTGGACGAGTGCAAATTGTTTTAGAGACAGAACATAAATACGATCGGAAAGCATCGAAACAAAATATTCAGGATTTTCCATTAAACGAACGAAATTTATTTTCCCAGCAACAATTTCCTGATACCCGGCAAACGCGTTCTGTGTCTCTCGTACAAATATTATACGAAACGGTTTGTTGGAGAACTCGTAATCAGCTGTTGTTTACGAGGATACGAATTTCCAAGGGTAGCGCGCATCCAGAGTGGTTGGAAAAGGCTTTATTGTCAGGTAGATTAAAAGATTTACAACGATTTAATTAGCAAGACACGTTTACTGATTCTAGCGAATCCCTATGAAAATACCACCGAAGAGTCAGCGTCCGAGTTCAGCAACGGTGAAATTCCGATGAACCCCGAGGTGGATCTTAACTTGCAAACAAGTAAGTGACTCGACATCGGTGGCGGCATTTAATTCGTATTAATCCCGAGTTAATTACACCCGGAGCATTCGAGAACTTTTCCTTATCTTTCTTATCTACCCTACCCACCGTTGCGTCGACGTTCTTGAACTTAACTAATCACGAGCGACCACCTTACTGTATGATTTTGAGGTAATTTGTCTGTGAAGAAAAATAGAAGATAAAATCATGGTCGCCATGGGAGAAAGAAATAACAAATGAGGCAAGAAATGCATCGAGTCTTTTTTAACAAGATAATTGCTGATTTCCTCGTTCTTAATTCTTCGCTTCTTGCTCGTTCTCTCCTATATTATTCATCGATTCTTACGCTCTAATTGAAATTTCTCTACTTGACTGCGTTCTTAGAGCTAACGTGACAAATGTGATAATCTTACGCTCGTAATTAATAACACTTGACATCTTGTTTCTTGAAAAATATTCTTTCTTTTACATCTTGATTACCATGGGCGGGTAATTAGTACTATAAAAATTAAATAATTGAGAATATAAGGCAGATGGTATTATACTAATTGAAAGCTTAAATCATCATGTGTCAGTCGGTTTAATCGATGGTGCATCAGGTGCGTTCTACGCTATTTAGCTAATTCGATCAATGACACACCATATGCGTTCTCCACTATTTAGTCGAGTTAATCAATGACGCACCATATGCGTCTTTCGAAGAAAACTAAGCGATCAATTTTCCACCGCTTGGAAATCGTTTTATAATGAAATCTCCATCTCAAGTGAGTTAATAATAGAATTATTCGTTGAACATTATCCTGTTTGCCGTTTATACAGAGGAATAAGGCCGCGATCGAGTATACTCGTTCTCTTTCATTTCGAGGGTACATAAGGTTTGTCCGACGAAGTAAATTCATTAGTGAAACCAGGCCGCCACTCTTTGCTGAGGCGAGGATACGATTAGAAGGAATCGCGAGAGGGACAGAGAAACTTGGATAGTTTATAATTCACGTAGCAACTTCGTCGTAACGTAAACAATTAGTCGGATTAAGAGGTTGCTCGTTCGTGGAAAGCGTGGAAAAGGAGGAAGCGAGATAGAAATCCTCGTATTGCTCCGACCAATCGATTTCGTATCCAATAGCTCACCGAATTTTTCTTTATTTTCCACGTAAAACGTAGGAAAAATCACGAAGCATCGGAAGTAAACAAATTTTCGCATTTTTTTTATATTTCTTAAATAAAAATTTTACCACTTCCATCGATCATCGTTTGTATAATAAAAACTGTAGACATGTTTTATGCAAGATATTAATCATTCCTCTAAATGAACGGATATAAAGAGAAAGGATAAACGAAAATAAGGCGCAAACGAGGGAAACGACGAAAGCTTAATTACGTGTCCATGATAGAGCAAACCAGAAACGAAAATCCCATCTTCCTTTCCCTCTGTCCAGGAACGCGGCTCAAAATGTTTCCTCTGAACCGTCCGGAATAAACGAGCAGTTTCTCGCTGGTTTCTGGACCGCGATTATCTAGCCGGCAAAATAAAAAAGAAATAAAAAAAAAGGGATGAAAAAAATCGCATCGTTAGAGATGGCCGTAACGAGACTCCTGTACGCGTACACGCGAAACCGCGGTTTTGAGCGTTTCCTAACGCAAAGAGGCGGAAAGATACCGGTGAAAAAAATTGGTAGGAAAAGGTGGAAACGCGTGTACGGTTTCGCGTTCGAAAGCACGCGTTTTTCAACGTTGCGATTAACCGCAAACGATGGGTAAGCTGTTGTAAAACGGTAGCGGTGTCTCTTTGAGAAGAATATTCGATGAAATCCTAACGAAGATGTGGCGAAAATTGGACGAAACATGATTAACGTAAAATACAACTATGTGCAATATTTTCGTTGGATCTCCGTGCTTCTTTCAACCCCTTCGTCCTGGAACTGTCGTCAGAAATAAAGCGGAAATCGTACACGCGATTGCAACGACGTCGGTATGAAAAGAAGACTCGGTAGGATGTGAACGATGAAACAAGCATAAGAGTCTGAACAGAAGAAAAGAAAAAACGGAGTGATGTAAGAGACGTAGCAGAAAAGAAAAAAAAAAATGGAACGGAGGACCAATGAAAGCGTGTACCTTGTATCGAAACAATACGAAATGGGTCGCTGTTTATGTCTTTTGATGTTATCGTAGTATTCAAAGGAAAAAAGTAGGGGTCGGACAAGGAGAAAATGGAGGGAAAGCTGAAGAAAAAATACGGGGAGGTAAGAGAAAGCAGTAAGGGTGGAAATATGGGTACAAAGTGGAGCAACATCATCGCGTATTTAGATTTGTGATTTTTATGTTGAATGTTTTACAATTTGTAATCTGGGTCACGATTGACCCGGACGTCGCTGTTCAAGGGTTAATCAGCCCTATAAATCAGTGATTCAAGAACAATATTTCCATGAAGCAGTGAATCTTTCTCATTAAAGAAAGGAAAAGATTTGATTGCTCGTAAAGGGCGGTGCATCCAGCAAGAATGCTTTCGCCCTCTTCATTCTTTCCCATCGCTTAAAAAACCGTAACATTTTATCGCAGAGCAAAGAGAAAAAGCTAATCGTCGTTTCGGTGGAGGAGTAAAACAGTGAGCGTACGAAAAGAGCAGAAAAAGGTTGGAAGATTGGAAAAAGACGAAACGCAAGTAGCTCGATAAAGCGACTTTACAATGCGCCGTTACATTCTTCCAATTTTTCACGTCGACCGGTCTTGCTGTTTTATCGTGCCGTGGCTCCGAGTGCCGGCGCGAAACGGAAGCAGCGTCACGACGCCGGTTTTACGAGAGAAATAAATAAGCCAAGCCTAGAGTCGGCTCGCGTGGCGATCAAGATCTCACGTCGGCCGAGAGACCGATTTTCTTCGATCAGCTATCCCTGTCTCTGGCATCGTTCGAGCGGAAAAGTAAAACGGGCCAACGTAGACCCCACGTTGTGTCTCCTCTCTGTCCTGGCAATTTCGAGTTTAATTCGCGAGCACAGCTGCCCGCGGACCTGTGCACCAGCGATTCGAACCGGAAAATCTACCCTTTAAATCACGCTCCCTTTTTTTTCGTGGATCTGAAAAAAGAAAATGAACGGAGACACGCTGGGAGGGCTTTTAATTCCTTCCGCTCTTGCTGCGTTCTGTTCCATCGCTTTACTCTTTTTACTTTTTTTCAATCTCTGCTTCGTTCTGATCCATAAGAATGAGGTGTATTGTTTGTTAATTCTGTGTAAGCCGAATTTTTTATATTTGTGGAAAGAAATGATTAAGTACCATTTATGATACGGCATTCTATAGTTGCAATTGTTCAAAATATCATTATTTAATTTTTCAATGTTGCTTAAAATTTTTTTGTTATTTTGAATCAATGGTGCTAGTCACAGGTGACACCCCATGGCAACCAATGGTGTTAACGTGTACAAATGGCATGCACGAGTGGATTTCGAATGCTCTGGATTGTATCAACATCGAAACACAGATTGATTCTGGCTGTTTCAAATCGTTAGAGAGGAAGTGATAAAAATTTTTTAATCTTTCGAATCAAGTTATGTTTTTTCTAATTCAAAAAAATGACAATTAATTGACACGAATGGATTACACGATTGAAATGAAAAAGAAATTTTAATGGTGACCTAGTTTTATTAAGAATAAATTCCTGAATTATTTCTGCTTTTTTCTTTCATTCTGTGAACGTGTATATTCAATGTAGAAGCATTATTTTAATTTCAAAACAGACTCGAGAATTCTTTTTTCTTTCTCTCCTTTTTTTTCATTTCTTTTAATTAGCATACTTAATGGGCGAGCTGGAACTTCCACGATTTGCATCGTCGACGATTGATTTATTCGCCGTTTATACCGCGAAAGAATAAAGGCACGGTTAGCCGGTATTTTCTATTAAAGCGACTACGTTTGGCATAGTTACAGCAGCGGGAGAGGGTCAGGAATATTTAGAGGTACTAATAGGTGTTCTGACTGCCATTATCCTGCTCCTTCTGTTGGTGTTCGTCATTATTCTGCTTCTGAATCGACGTCAAAAACTACAGAGCTCGCCGACCGTGTTGAAAAATCCATTTGGATTCGCCATAAACATGAAGGTAAGAGAACCTTGCTCTCATAAATATGCGAAAACTTTTCTCGACCCGATAGAACGTTGGATTTTAATTCGTCATTAAAAGTCGGAGAACTTCGTCATTCTAGGATGACACGAATTGACGTCACCGTATTTTGTGAAACGAGAACCTCGATTCGTTATTCTATCCTTTGTCTACTTTAACTTTTTGGGATATTTTTTTATTATTCGCATATTTTTTAGCAAGGTAGTCAATTACAACGTGGAAGAGCCGAGTTTAATTCCAGAGACCGACCATTTCTGTTTTCTGTAGATTTTTACATATTTTTAAATTCTGGAAAGGAAAATCTTTTTTTAAACTTGGAAAGTGTTTGAAGAAATCCGAGTCACTGTATGTATTATAAAAATAGGGAAGAGTAATTTAAACTTTAGTATCTCAATATAATATTTTTAATGAATTCTGACCAACTTTTTGGTCTGATACACGTTAATAGTCTTCCATTTGGGAAAATGTTAATGGAAACGAGCGTTTCCACAATTTTACAGGGTCTTCTCTTGAATTTAACCCCTGGCGGAATGCTGACAGAGACTGCCAATCACGTTTCGCCGGACATACCGGAAGACGGAAGCATGCACGAGTCTTTGACAATGGAACAATTCAATTCGCCCCTCGTCAGTCCGCAGTATAAATCTACGTACGCGATCGTGGCCACTTCCGGTGAGCTTTTAAACACGACACTGTTTCTTACCTCGAGGAGTATCCCAAATATTTATGCCAATGCGTTAACGTGCATCCTCAGTAATTTTATGCAAACGCATGTAAATTCATGTAACCTGAATTTGAATCCCAAAGGTGTGATGTAAAAATTGAAACGAGTAAATGGTGGAAATGATGGGAGAAATTATTTTACTAAATTTAAATATTACATTTGAAACGTATAAATAATGAGAGGCAAAATTTGGATTTTTTAATAAATTTATTAAAATTTCCAACAAATCAATTTTTTTCAAGAATCCCCAAAGGATCTGAAGGACATGAATGGCTCAGAGGAGAACGTCCGACTGGATCCCAGACCGGAATCCACCATTGGTCCAACGAGCTGTTCCTCGTCGCCAACAAACTCTCCTGCACGACATTCGCAGCACTATAGGACCCTTCAAAGTTACACCAGTCCAACTGCGAAACTCAATATCGCAGCCTCGTCTAATCACCAACGGGACGTCGATCAGATCCACTCTAAACGCTGGCATACAGCGCCCAAAGAGAAACACAAGGTTCATTTCCAATATATCGACTTCCATCTAACAAATGAAATTGAACTAAAATTAACATTAATTTTATATTGGGTTTACAGATACCTGCACCTGTCGTCAGTTGGAACATCGCGCCTAGCATGAACAAACCATACAAATGCAAGGAAATAGAGCCCACAAATATACCACGACAGTGCCTACGTACCACAGAGAAGCTTGGATCGAGGGCCATCGGCGAGGTACTATAATTTATTATAAAATAAATGATACGTGTTATATTCTATCTGATAAATTTAAAAAAGTCTAACAGCTGGAAGATTGATAAATAATGAAATGAAATCTCGTTTGATGACGCGCAGGCGATAGTTTGCGAGACTGTCGGACTGGAGGACGTGGTACCGGATGCTCCGAGACTCGTCGTGGCTCGCGTGCCGACCTGCACCAGCGACATTCGAGCCGGTAGTACGACGGAACAAATGAGGGAAGTCCGATTTCTGTCCAGTCTATCCGATCCGAACGTGGCTCGGATCCTTGGAGTGTGTACGATGGATCCAGTACCATGGACGATCATCGAGTACACGGAACTCGGTGATCTAGCCCATTATCTTCAGTACAGTGTGCCACTTACGGGAACGCTTAGGCCGAGCTGCAATTTGAAAGCCCTTAGGTGAGATCTCGACGTTCATGACTCAGAAGATCCTAAAACGATACACGTATCGAGCTTACGAGCGTTACGAAAACGAAATTACCTTCGTACCGATCACGGTAACGATTCCATGGATCGGTCATACACGTTTGTCGTAAAATGAAATTTTACCATTTTTTTTTTTTTTTTCTTCTTTTTTAAGTCAAAGTTGCCTGCTGTACATGGGGACACAGATAGCATCGGGCATGAGGTTCCTCGAGTGTAAGAATCTGGTGCACAAGGACCTGGCAGCCAGGAACTGTCTAGTGGGCCGTTCTTACACCGTGAAAGTGACCGACATAGCGATGTGCAGTGACCTTTATAAGAAGGATTACAGTGACATAGGCGGCAGACCGCCGGCGCCAATCAGATGGTTGCCGTGGGAAAGCATCCTGTTGGTAAGGCTTTAAATTGATTTTCATTCTCGCCGCTTCTAATCTCTTTTTAACGATCCCGTTTTTTCGCGTCGATCTACGAGACTGTGACGGCGAGATACGATCGGTAACGATGAACTTGCCTTTCGATTCCAGGACAGGTACACTTGCTCCAGCAGCGTATGGTCGTTCGCTGTTACTCTTTGGGAAGTGATGAGTTTGGCTAGAGAGAAACCGTTTCAACATCTGACCAATGATCAAGTCATACAAAATGCCGAGCACATGTATTATGGAGCTGAGTTACAAGTACGTTTTCCTATTTGGGAATAGTTGAAGCTTTTTTTATTTTTCATTTCACTTTATCTATTTACCTAGAATGAATGGAATAAAATTTTTCTTTGCTTTCGCTTTTAGGTATATCTTCCCAAGCCTACGATGTGCCCAGAAGAGGTCTACAGAATGATGTGTTCTTGTTGGCGAAGGGACGAGACCTCGAGACCGACGTTCAAAGACATTTACACGTTCCTGAAGAGCATAATCGCGGACTATCGACCTGGTGCATAAAACGATCCCAGTTAACTGTGATACAACGGACAAAAAAAAAAAAAAGAAACGATGCCCTTCTAACTTCTTCCATCGAAGAAGCTCAATCACTCGAGTTGATCTGTTCGAAAGTGTACAATCGTTAGTTTTAACGCGAGTTTCTCTATCTTGAAAGAGAATCGAACGAGAAATTTCACGCGACTCTTTCTGTTCTCGATCATTAATCTCTGACTAAGCTGTTCAAGATGAAACGAGAGAAAATTGTATTTCCCTGAAATCTGATGACTTTCCGCTTTTCGACGAACACCTCTACGTCGATCCTCGATATTTTCTAGTCAACTCGATCATTCGATTCCTACGAGAGTGCTAACCTGTCGTGTACAGTATCCTGGACGCTACGATGTCGTGCACTGATTAAGTCTATCCACTTGTAAATACGAGTCTAGATACCGATGCTAGATGAACGAGAGGAATTTTTCATGCCAGCTGGTAAATTGATTCGAGGATTTGCAATCATGGATCAAACAATTTTGTTATTATTTCCTTTACTGTGAAAAGAATTTAGGATTTGCAGGAGCAATTTTATTATTTCTTTCCTATTGCAGGTATTAACTATTAGATAAGATTAGATAATACTCACTAAACTAATTAAATTCATTTATTGTTAAGTTTAAAGTTGTAAAAATTGTTCCTTTCTTTTCCCCAAGATTAAGAAACATTTATTAGTTTAGTGAGTACTATCTGAACTTTTCCAACAAAAATTTATTTTTCAACCAAGGAGAACAGATCAGGATCTTTCAAATTAGAGAATAATTAATTAATTATTAAATTAACGTGGCAATTAAAACATTAATTTACAATTACTTTTCAGATCTCACCTATGAATAACACATATCTCCATATTGATTCAGATGAAATCGTTTCGAAATACCAGCTACAGAGAAAATTTCTACTTACTTGTACATTCAAAGCCCGTCGTACGTAGTAAAGTACTTATATCGTTCCATTGTGTATTCCTTTCCGTTCGAAAAAAAAAAAAAAGAATTCACCGTCGTTATAGCGGGCGTAGATTCGAAACCTGAATTCTCGCGAGAACGTAATAATCGTCACGCTCTTTCCTTTGATTTACCATTTAAGGACAGACAAAAAGGATCATCGAGGAGAACCCAGCGATCGTTGAATCGTCGCGCTTCGAGAGGAACCGATCCATGTTTTTAGGCTGCGTTATTCGAGGCCCTCCGAAAAAAAAAAAATTGCGAACGAACGTTTGAACGACAAGAAATCGACCTGTCAGATGGTTAATCCAGTCAAAACCAAATGTGAATCACGTTGACATGAATCGTTGCTAACTGTTCACAGTTTTGGGACACAGAGAAAGGTGTATATACTTATACGTATAGATTCGCTGTTGGTAAAGTGCCAAAAAGAGTCAGCCGTTCAAACGTTCACCTCTGCACGCATCTTTTCTGTAATTCTTAAGATGGATCCAAGTATACGTTGAAATGATTAACAAATAAAGTACTGAGTGTTCCTTTCTGATCTTTGATTGTGATCTTTCTTCTTTTTAAGGATTTCATCGATGGAATTGTTGAGGCTGAATTCTGCTAATTATAATTACTGCTGATTAGCAGGTAAATATCGCAGTAGAAATGGACCTATATAGTAAGACACATTATATTATATTAATGCTCTATTTTGAAAATTTCATATTTTACGTGAATTTTAGATTATTTAATTTATTACTGGTACAAGGAATTATTGGTGACGTTTCAAATTTTACATAATAGAATTCTTAGAAAAGTAGAACAAAAAACAAACTTTGAATAATATTGGTATTACATTAATTATTTTAATACTTATCTTTAGTTGGAAACTAGGTTTATTTCAGAATTATGTAAATAAAATGGCATTGAAATTTATGAAAATTTGGTGCAATTAAAAGCAAGGTTAACAAACGTGATAAATATACAAAATGAAGGTTTATCTGTCAAAGAAAAACATTGGGATATACTGCAAGTAGATTCCAGATCATGTTGGAGAACCATCTCTAATCTAATCATATTACAAACATAGTCGTCAAAACTCTTCTTAAGCACACTGAATCTTTGAATGTCAAAGAACGGGTTAATGAAACCTCTGCTTCAAACGTGGGAGGGAAAACAGATTCCTGGAAAATTCCTTGCACCTTGTAAATTAACAATGTCGCGAAACGACAAGGTTAATGAAGATTTCAAAGAAAATATTTGATTATAGAAGGAAGGATAAGATATGTTTTTGCAAAATTTACTCAAAATATAAATATCTGTAAATTGATTTTCAATATTCTTTCGGCCATTAATGGAAGCATTTAAAGACCAACAGGACCATTTAACAATTGGTCCAGATGGAATGTCGAGTCACTTAAATGCATATCATTCGAATTTGTAATCGAAGTAATACTAACCAGTGGCAAAGTGGTGTTCGTCGGACTAAAAAAAAAAATGATACCACGGTTTCGATATCTAAAAAGGTTGTCAGAACAATGGTTACCTGGACATAATATGAGCAGCTCTCTTTAAGGTGGTTCCATTAGACGAGAGGCACCGCTCATAAATCACTGGCAAAACCTTTTATCGGCACAATTCGGATAGCATTGCTCACCGTCGAGACAAGGCTCATTAATCTTTCGCCAACCAAGTGAATGATCTGGCTCGATCATAGACGACATGATCGGAAAATTGATGGCGATTTTATGAGACCTTGGAAACACTTGATGACCTGTCTCCAATTATTTAGAACTGTTCTTTATTTGAAAGATTTAGCAGTTGAAAAAAACAATGATACAAGAACAATAGAAGAATAAATATTAAAATTAAAGACTAAAATTGAATATTTTAATTCTTTCAAAAATTAAATAAACTTTATTGAATTAAAATTTTAATTAAGAAAATATTTCACAAGAAGAGCTGACCAAAATTAAGAATATGAAAAAAAAATATAGCATTCCTGTTATCGTTTAATCAAGTTGCCAAGAATAAATAAAAATATTAATTAATCTTCGTGGAATTCAAGAATCGCCATGGAAATAATAATTGGTTAAAAAAACAGCACTCGATAATTGTTCCGCGAAAACCGAAATTGAAAATGAAAGAGAAGAAAAAACAGACGACTGGATATTGCATTCGTGTCACAGATTAAACATTAATCCGCTAGTCAATACGCTAAACAAGCTGCGCTGGATGGGTCGATTGTTTACTCGACGGGGAAGCACAAAGGTGCGCTTTACTCCGGAAATCACCGAACGATCGATCCGAACCGCTTCAAGACAGAGCTAACATCGTGTTCGTACATTGGTCCCAGAGATAATGAAATGCATGACGACGAAACACTCGTTTCGAGTGTGTGCGAGTGTCGCGTTACGTTGGACGCTTACGTTTATATAATGCCAGAGCCGGGAAAGTGAGACCATTGAATCGTCGTCGACTGTCAAAGAGACACGCGTTCCTCGTACGACAACATGAAGTTCTATCTGACTCTTCTTATACTCGCCCTCCTGGCCATTATTCACCATCCAACCGGTAAGAGAGCAAAGGAACGTCGAATTAATATATTCTTTACAAGCATTCTAATTAAGAGCTACGATTAATATTAATAATATATTTTCAGCTGCGAACAGCGTGTGTCCGCAAGAAAATTGTCTGGATCTATCGAAATGCGATGATTTAGTCGTTGGTGGAACGTGTCCACAATCTACTGATTCTTGTTGCAGTATTGGTAAGTGTTTTAATCAAATTTAAATAAAATCACACGATCGCTTCATTCAAAAAAAGTAAAATTAATATTTTTTAGTCTACGACTAATTATGATTAATTTAATATTTTAAAATTGAAAATTTGAGAAATTTCATTTGTAATATGTGAAAAGATAGAAATCAGCACGGCTTGTTTCTCATGTCACTCCAAACAAGCGTCTTTCCACCGAATGGTAATTTTCATTCTTCCAACGCTAACACGCGCTCGTTATTGATATCCGCGAGGTAGTATGGAAATGGCACGCTTTCGTTTATTGGCGTCACGATAGAAAACACATGGGACGATAGCAATTAGGAGGTAGTAACGCCAACGTAACCACTCGTTACCGCTGGATATGGCAATTTCACGCCACCGAACACGTACACGCAACCATCGTCATTTCTACTGTGCCAAATCGAATACTCTCGAGATTCACTTTTGTGCGCCATGAATTTCGAACGAATCGCTCGACTAGTTAATTCATGCGTCATTGGTCGCACTTTCACGAAACATGTCGCTAACGTACCTGTCGATTCTCCTAGATATACTTTTTCACCTTGCTGTACATTTCTTAATCACCGAACTCTTGACAACTCTGTCATTACGTGATTACCATTATTACCCAATGTTTGTTTTAAAAATTTGATGAATTTTTCAATTTTCTGTTTCTTGACGATTTTTATAAATTATTTTGAAAGTTTAAAGAAAAGGATCGAATGCAACTTTGGACTGTAAAAATATATAATTCCTCTGTTCACAGTTAAAATGGAGCACAGAACTCACTGCCGTCATTTCGGGGGTGAATGCCTGGACTCTTGCGCTCAAACTTTGCAACACACCGTGGTCGATTGTCCGGCGGACAAAGTCTGTTGCACGTTAGTCTAAACGAGTAAAGAGTGTCTCTGTATTTCTATCTGTGTAGCGTTTAACATAAGCGATTAGTTTATGGCATAGGATGTTCGTTTACGACGTGCATTGAATATCGTAGTACGATAGAAAAGCAACTTAATTGGTTTTACAATTACAACGGTAAACGGCTGTTCGCGTACCCGTATGGTGAATGAAAAATTGTACCCGCCTGGAGATAATTGCACGGGGCACTGTCACGGATGTGGGACTCGTAAAAATTGCCACCAATGTTAACATCGTTATTCGCATAAACGATTCCTGCGTTTATTTCAACAGCCGGAAGATTTGTGTGTGCGAGTGCGTGTTATTATCGATGTTCGGTGAGGATAAATAATATTTATAATAAAATGATTAATGGGTAACGTGAAATTTCCTGTGCAATCTTTCAGCCCAATAAATTTGTTTTCTCATTTTTCTCCCTTAAATTCCAGACACCAGCCACCCCTGATTTTCGTGACAATAATTGTGTTAAATTAGAAAATTAATAAAATCCAATCAATCAAAGGTGTTTTAATTCTAATTTTTTAACATACATATGAATGGTGCTGGCATCAATAGGAATCGAGCAAAGCAGACAGAAACAACTTAAAAAAATGCCGGAAGAGGAGCACGAGAATAAAGAGAAGCAGGAAGAAATAAGAAACAACGAGAAGGGATGAGAAGTGGCCAGAAGCGATGCAGCTAGCGCGTTTGACGATGCATGAACACACGCATACGAGATTTACACTCGTGTTGGTTAGCCCTGAAGGGTCACTCGAATGTTGTGTAGCAGAAAAAGATGATGATCCCGTAGCTCGGCTATCATCGACCATCTAACCGCGAGATAAAGAACCATAGAAAACAGTGACGTATTCGTATATGCGAATTAACATTGTCTCATAAAACTGTTTAGTATAAGACAAATGGTGAACCGAAAATGATTCGGACGAAATGGTGACCGAGGAGAAGAAGAAACCAGAAAGAAGAGATACCTTGCCCGGGGCGATACACGAGGAACATGTGACACTAAATATAGAAACCCGACGTGGAATTCTTCGAAAGGTAACAGAACAAACACACGCTCGTTTCGTCGAAATTTAAATAAAACAACCGGCTGGAATATCATATAGGAAGAGTGTATTGAAACAGCACTTTCAAGACGTGCGAACTGTTGGCGCAGATAAACGGTTCAAACAGTTAAATAGATTTTTCATCCCCAGCTGCAAGGGATGCTCCAAGAATCTTGAATTCAAGAAAGATAACCTTCGTTAACTGCTCTCAGCTAGGCGATCGTTGAAAATCCCAGATACTTATCGGCAATCTTTTCCCGCTGGTCGATCGTGCATCGTGAAACTATAACGCAGAGGGAAGAGAATTATCAAGTATAAGATAGCGAGGAAGAAGGCAACGAGGACAAGGAAGAAGAATAAGATGATGATGAAGAAGAGGTACACCTTGCCCAGGGCAATGCAGGCAGATGCCAGTACCCCGGTACGTGTACTTACATACATATACACACACGTAAGAGCCGTTTCGGTTAGCCCGGGGGCGGAGGCGCGGAATCATGCAGCGTAGAAGAAGAAGGAGGCCCCTTCCGACCCCCCGTCCTCTCCTCCCGGCCACCGTCGTTGCGCAGAGAATGGCCCGAAGGGTAGACGCGGAGGTGTACCCCACCACGAAGAGCGTCAGAGCAACGGTCGTTCCGCTGCGGGCACGGAAACGAGAGGAGATAGCGGCGAGCTTCGCCCTCCACCCACGGCTCTCTTCAGGGTGAGGCGCGCGAAGGGCGAGGGCACGGGGAAAGATGCCTTCGGGAGATCCAGCGAGACAATACGCTCCGCGATGCCCCCAGGCGGATTCACGACGGACCGTG